CCAAGTTTTAACTCTAGCTACTTTGAAGCATAGCTTATTCAGTGTCTAGATAGGTGGCAGACGATGTGTTGTTGAAACACTTTAGCTTCTTCGGAGCTTCTTCAGCCCCAAAAAAGATACTCGCTTGACAGGACGTCTGCTGCCACTCTCTGAAGTTAGCTGGAGACACCTCTTCAGGTTCTTGCTAGTTTGGATTGTCCACTCGTTTTGTTTTTGAAGTGGAGACTCACCTCAAAGGTGGGGGCAGCCAAGCAGAAAGATCTTTGACGCCTCGCCTCTCCCCCCCCCCCCCCCCCCCCCCCCCCCCCCCCTTCCCAGAAATGTTAAAGCAGTCTGCGACGAAGCAGAAGAAATATCTTCCGATCTTCATGACACCGCATTCAAAATTCGGGTAGACGGATTTTTCTTTCTGCACTAAGCACAAAAATGGCGTCGCCGACGAGAAAATTGCAGAACGGAGTACCGATACCCTCTAAGTGTAGTTTATCTGGTGACCACTCTCAGACTTCCAGGAGAGTCTTTTCAAGGTACAAAGGGCCATTCACACAAGTGCGTTTGCTTAGGAACGAGTCCTTGCGATCTCTTACGACGAGAAAACGCACGCTGGCGCCATCTATGAGGTGACCCTAGAACTGCATCTCACTAGAGCGAATACTTCACGCTATTTTCGAGATCCAATTTACGTACTATCTAAAAAGAAATGGTCGCTAATAACATTTTCAAACGTTTTTCAAACCCTCAAAAAATGGTCAAAAAAAGGGAAACTGCAAGTGTTGCACGGCTACACGATAGATGGCGCCAGTGTGTTCCGTCGTCGTAAGAGATTTTAAAAAGGTTTTAAAAGGATACTAAATCGAAACTTAAAATATACAGAAAACATCTAGAGAGAAGTCAAATAGGATCAGATAAACCTGTCATTGATAATCGCATAGCCATATTTTAAGCGGATGGCTATATTTTTCGTTCTAAATGCCTGGATTTTGGCGAGCGCTTCAAAGTCAGCAATGAAAAAAAAAAACAGTGAGTGCGCAGGCGAGCTGATGGAAGTTGATCATGATGCAGAATACCCGAGACAGTATGTAGAAAAGCCGGAAAACTTGGAAAAGGCAGGGGAAAAGAACGTCTCAAAACTATTTCCCCTGTCTTTTTGCTTCGACCAAGTTTCCCAGATTTTACCACAGTCTCGGGTATTCTGCATCATGACCAAAATCATCAGCCGTCGAAGAGCGCGATGCATCTCGGGAGATCCGGCGGATCCGGCGCAGTCTTGACGTCATCATACCTCGGAGGGCTAAGTGTACCGTAGCTATGAGTCTCGCCACTTGGAGGCGCCAACGTGTTACAATTTACAATCTCGATTAGTCGAAGTACCCGAGGGCTGTAGCATATCGCGGAGTCGGCGGAGCGGCGGAGCTGCCTCGAGTGTATGATTGCCGACCAACGCGACGAGAGCAATGGGTATGATGACATTAATAAGAACGAAGACGCTGCCGCTCCGCTAATCACCGGTGGCCATGATGGCACGAAGATCTTCGGCTTAGAGTCGTATTTGTACGACCCGTCTGCCTTGTCCTCGTCGTCCGCCACCAGGTAACAGAGCTTATTCACGAAACGATCTTACAGCAAAACCCAAGAAGATATCCATATTCAGGAAGCGAAATTATCGCAAGTTTTTCGTACGCTACAATGAAATCCTACGACCACGCCTACGACAGCTACAAAGCTTTAAGCACCTTTTATGATCAAATCTACATCGCCGGCAACATCGCTTGCTTACGTCGTCGCGACGACCAACGTGCATTAGAGCTCTCCGAGCGTGCCAACTAAAGAAAAAAAAAAAAAAAAAGTATTTGAAACTGAGCGCCGCGGCGGAGGCAAACGCTAGAACCACAGATACCTGAAAATCTGCAACGGCAACGATATCCGCTGGCTTGATGAATGGAATACGCCCACGCGACCTTTGTGGACCCTTCTCGTGTGAATAGTTTGAACCCTGACCTCTATTTTTCCGTAAGAAGGCCAGTCTTTCCCCTCGGTCGTACCTAGCTTGTTTTCAGATGCTGCGGTGATGAACGCACTCGTCGAAAAGGAACACTCTCCTCGATTCGATCTCCTTTTTTTTGTGTTATAAAGCTCAAATAAGCGCCATATGGGTTGCCTTCGCAACATGGGTACGTACGCGTAGTTTAGATGTCCATTTTATTTCGACATGATGGCACGCAAACACATGTAGAGTTAGAGCAGTTTTTGGGAACGACTCAATGCCAGTTCAATCTTTCTCTGCCGAGCGTCACGTCAGCATCGAGTTGCGATTGTCTAGAGGCCCACTGATTCATAAAACCGGTTGTAAAAGATCGCTCCCGAAGCGGTCAACAAGAACGCGGTGCCAGTGCGGCTCCTCTCACAGTGCGAACAGGTATGTAGGTGGATCTTGCTGACACTCTTTCACTTCAAACGTATCTTCCTGGACGTTGGCTCTCTCCCGCATCCCCAAGCCACGAAAAACACCGCAGCGATTTGTTTAGATGCGCGGCGCTTTGCAGAGCCGTACGGGTCTTCTCCTTTTAGCAACGATGGTATACAGTTGTGTTGACTTATTAGCGATCGAGTTCATTATCAGTTGCACTCGACCAAGACGGCTATCCCGTCGTTAGGAAAGGTGGGCATTCGGGCCCTTTTAAACATTTCTTAGCGTGAATATTACATCGCATGTACACAATCTCCAAACCACCCCAAACAAGCGTTGCCGGGAAGACCACCCGATACTAAAACGAGCGGTGGCCAACCCTGCTGTTGCTTTCTTTACCAAAGCGCCTCGGTACTACGTTCAGGCCTAAGTAATATCTATAGTGACCATACTTCCAGCTGTCGCGCTGCTCTTACAGACATGTTGTCGTCCCGACATTCCACCGAAGCTTCGCAGACATCCACGAGGTGGTTTTCGGTTATCGCTTATTCAGTTTAAAATACGTTTTCTCGCGTTATCCTCCGGAATATTGGTATTGGTGAAGTTCTATTTTAACCCCTTTCGTGTTCAAGCAAAGAGATGGCCTCCAGAATTTGGTTTCCGTACCCCTTTTAAGGGTCACGGTCGTAAGCAATCGCAAGTTTGTGAGCCAGCTTAGCCCTTAAAAGCCCATAACGTTTCTACCAGTCAGACATCTTAATGAAACTTGGCAAAAACGGTCTTCATAGCCATATGAGCTTAATAACAACAAAAACGTTGGCAGATTCCATGTCTGATGCCAGTAACGTAGGGGTGGGAACATCCCTCCCTCTGGGTCATCAGTCAGCCCCAACTTCCAGAACAGGCCACTGTATACACAAAGGTGGACCTAGCATAGTGAGCATGGGATTTTCACCCTCTACTATCTTTCTCAGTTGAGGAATACCTGCACGTTTTTTTTTTTTTATTTTTCAAACTCGGAAAAATGTTTCTCGGCTGAAAAGCGCACATCGTCTGGTACGCCGAGTTCTCTTCGTGCCTTCGCAACCCTTTATATCTTGACTTCTCTTGCATACAGAATGATCTGCTCCAGAAGGCTGTTCACTATTTTAACAGTGTGTCAAAAATTATAAGAGTTGGAGAAGCATTAGAAAAGCTAAAGCTAATGAACGAAAATCTAGAATGTGCATCACATGTGACACAAACCTCTTTTTTTTTTTTTTACGCTACATTAGTAGATTTGTCGTTCTGGTTAGTGCCACATATTAGTTCCCCTTAGAGTTGTCACCTAGTCGACATTGTCATCAGATGAGTTGCTGCCATATCGGGCAGGTTTCAAATCCGTTTTTTATCGAGAACCTTTGAGCATGTCACTAGAATTCGTTGATGTCATCATATTTTAGAGCGCAGCTCTTAGGCGCCCGTTTCCGCCTTGAGCGGCGTCGCCGTCGCCGTAACCGCGCGGTGCATTGTGGGTAAATTTCCCCGCTAAATTTAGCGGAAATTTTTCCCCGCTAAATTGAGCGGAAAATTTCCCCGATGAATTTAGCGGAAAATATTTCCCCGCTAAATTTAGCGGAAAAAATTTCCCCGCAAAATTTAGCGGAAAATCTTCCCCGCCAAATTTTGTGGAAAAAGTTCCCCGCCAAATTTAACGAAAAATTTTCACCGCTAGATTTAGAGAAAAAATTCGCCGCTAAATTTAGCGGAAAAATTCCCCCACTAAATTTAGCGGAACAATTTTGCCGTCAATTTTAGCGGAAAAATTTCCCCGCTAAATTTAGTGGAAAATTTCCCCGCTAAATTTAGCGGAAAAATTTCCCTGCCATATTTAGCGGGAAAATTTTCCCCTAAATGGGAGGAAAGGAGGAGGGGCAGAGTTTCCTCTCCGTACCTTCCCCTTCTCCTCCTCAAGAGCTGCGCTCTATTTTGGCGTTACAGGGGATTGTAAAGTCTTTCATTTTTTCATCCCCCGATAACTGTTGCATGTCACCCAGAAGATACAAGAACTTATCCAAGGCCTCTTCATCAGACGAGGACTCTACCATTTGGAGAAAAACGAAAAATACTAAAGTTCACCAAATGCCCGTAAGGAATAATGCTCCCACCAGGGGAATGGGCATCAAGCTCCTGTAACATTACTTATCACAAATATGATTATTATATGGAACTAAATAATTGTTTAATGTGAACAGTATATGCTAATAAAATCTAATTATTCTTGTCATTGTTTTTTTTTTCTAGGTGAATTATATTTTTGCTTTCCGGAGTTCTCACAAGCAGGGCATCATGCTGAAAAACCTCGGGCCGGTCGACAGAAGTCTTGCAAGCCCATTGTGACATGCACACAAACTTCTCGAAATATTTTTATTGCGTTTGGTTTACACACGAGGAAAAGCCGTCGCGATACCAAGACGGAATATATTTCCCTCTAGGACTTGTGGGTATTTTAAGAAGGTGAGAAATATATTCTTTTTTTGGCGTTTCAGGGGGAATACGACTTGTGGCACCGGGAGATGGCGGCGCTTTCTGACTGTCTCTGGTCCCCCTTCAGGATGCCAGCGGCGCGGGTTTCTCCTGCCGGCGAACCCCGGTCGTGGTCCCCGACGCCCGCGGCGGACGGCCAAGTCCCCGATGTCGCCCCTCCGGCCTCCCCCGGCGACACGCCGCCCCCGGCCATCTCGAACAGGGAACGCCTGTCAACCACGACGACCACCTCAACCATCACCACGACGACCACGTGTGCCAGGTCGCCCTACCAGAGGCTCCTGGACGCCCTCGGCTCGGACGAGCGCTGGCAGAAGGACGTGGCCCTCGGTCGGAGGGTCGGCTTCTACCGATTCAGGGGAGAACTGGGCACGGGCAACTTCTCACAGGTCAAGGTCGCAGTACACTGCCTCGTCAAAGGTAAGTGCTATTCGCAATTTTCACTGCCTATCTGGGCGCACTGGTTCCGATATCGCTGACATCCGGATGATCGTCGTACAACATCAGAATGCGGTTGTCCGCTGCGTCCTCGCGCAACGCAGCAGAGGCTGGTTGCACTATTTCTCCACGGGTCGCGTGGCCGTCGGGGCCGAGATGCGCTCCGATTGCAAACCGAAACTTAAAAACCCGTCGAATTTGTGCGGTCTTTCAGAAAGCCGTAAAATGCTGCGCGTGCCTTCTATCGTTCTGCAACTTGTTGATTTAGCGTTTTTCGACGATGTTGACCAAATTTCTAATTGAAACCATGCCCTTAAACACAGTATTGAAAAAGTTTATTACGCGAAAATAATTCACAATCTAATTATCCTGGACTTTGATAATTTTCCAAAATGGGCCCCTGGCCCCAGGACCAAAACAGCACAAACTTGTTTTTCTTTTCTTTTTTTTTTGCGAAGAGCATAGTTTTGGCAATATCGAATTTGTCCACATTTCGTGAAACACCCTGTACGTCATTGGTGTGTCATATGAGAGCATCTGCATACGTTCAAATGGTCTACAAATGTCTGTGTCAGTACTGTCAGTACCGGTCAGAATCTGGCTCAACAAGACGAAATGTCCACCGTCAAAATCTTCAAAATGTCCAATGAGACAAGACGTTCATCGAGTCAAAATGTCCATCCAGGTCAGAATATCCACCGAGACAAAGTGTCCATCGGGTCAAAATGTCCACCCAGGTCGAAATGTCCAACGAGACAAAATGTCCATGGGGTCAAAATGTCCACCCAGGTCGAAATATCCACCGAGACAAAATGTCCATCGGGTCAAAATGTCCACCCAGGTCGAAATGTCCAACGAGACAAAATGTCCATCGGATCAAAATGTCCAATATTGGACATTTTGTCTCGATGGACATTTTTTTCTCGATGGACATTTTGACGCGTAATCGCAAGCTATCGTTCGTTATAAAGGGTGCGTCGTTAACACCTATCCGTCCATCCATTCATTCATCCAGCCATCAAATTTTACGATCTAAACCAATGACGTTTAAATACCTTAGGACCTGTCGTGACGTCACGCTCATCGAAGCCGAAAAAATAACTTAAAATATATTCCGAGGGAGGGAGGGAAGCCTGGAGGTGCATTAGCTGGCGGTTGCAGGAGGGGGGGGGGGAGGGGGGGGGGGGAGGGGGTATATCACTTCATGGGAGCCTGCGTCGTCGCGCCTGTGACGAAACCTTTTCGACTGCGTTCCTGACACAACAGGATAAGTTTAATAAATATGAGCTCTGCTCTTTGTCGTCAGTTAGAAAGTTCGAGATGCCACGAACACGACTGCGCGCTCTCCCCTCACCCCGCAGAGAAAGTGGCCGTCAAGATCCTCGACAAGAGCAAGCTAGACGCCAAAACGCAGCGCATGCTTGCCCGAGAGATCGCCAGCATGGAGTCCCTGCATCACCCGCACATCATCCGCCTGTACGAAGTCATCGAGACGCTGAGCCGCGTGCACCTGGCCATGGAGTTCGCGCAGGGCGGGGAGCTCTTCGAGAAGGTCACCAGTGACGGCAGGTACTCGGAGGAGGACGCCAGGCTGGTCTTCGCGCAGATCGCGTCTGCCCTCGAACACATGGTAAGGGAGCTGGAACACCAGTGGGCCTGGCTGGGGTTCTAACCTGGACATTCGGAGAAGTAGCCCGCGAGGGATTCGAACGAGGTCACGTGACATCACTTTCTTCGGTAAATTGAGCGGGGAAGCTTCATCGGGGTAGAGGTGACGTGACGTAAATTCTTCTGCTAAATTTTGGGGGGAAACTGAATTTGTGTATATATCCCGCGATGTCAAGTAACGCGATATCAAGTTTTTGTTATATTTAGTGGAGAAAGTGAGTTGGTAATAGGTCACGTGACGTCGGTCACGTTACGTCAATTTTCCCGCTTAATTTAGCGGTGAAACAGAACTAGTGTATAGATCACGTGGTATATTTATTTTTTCGCCGACTTTGCTGGGGAAAGTTAACTGTGTATATTTCCCGTGACGTCAGGTCATGCGACATCAATACACGTCAGGTGACCTAAGCAGCGATTCAGTTTCCGCGCTAAATTTAGCGGCAAATGCGCAGACGGACGGAGGGACAAACTTTGCGAATCCGGGGTGGAGGGCTCCGTCAAAGAGCATTTTATGCTTTCAAATCGAAAGACGTTTACAACTTTCTGTAATGCCGAAATTTTCGCTACATTTCCCGCTAAATTCAGGGGAAAAAAATTCCATGCTACTCTTTTTCGCTAAATTTAGCGGGGAATTATTTCCACTGAATTTAGCGCGGAAATTTTTCCGCTCAATTTTGCGGGGAATTTTTTTCGCTAAATTTAGCGGGAAAAGTTTCTGCTAAATTTAGCGGGAGATTTTTTCCGCTAAATTTAGCGTGACATTAGGGAGTTTTCGTAGACCGCGTTTCCCCCTCCGCTAAGCCCTCCGCAACGAAGAGGCCGCTACTGCGCCTGCGCGCCGATAGCCTTGGCTGTAGAGTTCCGGGGATCGCAGCGGGTTGCGGAGGGCCGTTGCAGGACGGCGAAAGCCATCTACGAAAACTCCCTATTTTTCTGCTATATATAGCGGGGAATTTCTTCCGCTAAATTTAGCGGGAAAATGTTTTCGCTAAAATTTAGCGGCGGATTTTTTCAATAAATGTAGCGGGGAATTTTTTCTGCTAAATTTAGCGGGAAACGTTTTTCGCCAAATTTAGCGGGGGAATTTTTTCGCTAAATTTAGTGGGAAACTTTTCCGCTAAATTTAGCGGGAGAATTTGCTCCGCTAAATTTAGCGGATAAATTCCCTCCTCCTCCCTTGTGACTCTCGTGACGTCACACGTGACGTCACGCGTGACGTCATTATGGAAAACGGCCCATAATTAAACACACGGTTACGCCGACGGCGACGGCAACGCCGCTCAAGCCGGAAATGGGCGCCTAAGAGCTGCGCTCCAAAAGCACGAATGGGCGAAAATTAATCATAGCAAGACACTACAGTTGAAGTAAGGCTTCTCTCCACCCCCCCCCCCCCTACCCTTTTTTGTACTTATAATTTTTGCAGCCTGTCAATATCATTTATGTAAAATTCTTTGGAAAACTGGCATAGCGTCTAAAACGTGGATTGATAAAAAATACTTTCCAACAAATTTTACGAAACTACGAAACTCAAGTCTCTACTATCAAAAACTGCGAAGCCCCCCCCCCCCCCCACACACACACACATACACACACAGAAATATTTCTCGCAAGAGTTTGTGGCATTGAAGCCAGAGTTGACTCAAATTTCGGTGCCCTGTCGATCGACTGGTCCGCGGGAACTACATGGTATCTCAAATAGCGGCCAGGCTCTTTCAATCGACCGCAAAAATCGGTTTCTTAACCTATCCCGCTACGATTTTGTGCAACGTTGCCCACAGATGGTGCATTTCTTCTATAAAATATACAAAAAGCGAACTTGCCTGAAGAAAAAGTGAAAAAAGAAAAAGGCGTCACTTCAATAGAAACGTAGCGAAGCCACCGGTCTTCAAACAATAGGGCGCCGTTTTGCACAAGAGACAAGAGATGGCGCAAGCGGTCGCGACGCCAACTGCCGCCAACGAACGAGCATACGACGCTGAGAGCCGGTGTCATTAGCAGACGATCTTTCCGACTCGAAAGCGGCGCGCGTTCCGTAGGTGGCGACAGTCCCAGAACCAAAAGTAGGCGCGGTAAAAACGAGGAACTGCACAGCAGACAACATAAGTACACCGAAAACGACACTCAAAATAACCCCACAAACCACTCTTTTAATCGATTATCTGTCCATTCATTGTGTTTTATTAGTAAGGATGATAAAATCAGGCATTAGCAAGTGACATCGAAAAAGTTCGCGTCGCTTTTAAGTCGAAAAGATCGCCTGCTAATGACGCCGGCTCTCGGCGCCGTACGCCCGTTCGTTGGCGGCAGTTTGCGTCGGGACCGCTTGCGCCATCTGTCTCCAGTGCCAAACAGCGCCCTATTGTTCGAAGACCGGTGGCTTCGCCATTTTTCCATAAGAGTTAAGCCTTTTTCGTTTTTTTACCTTTTCCTCAGGTAAGCTCGCTCTCTGAAAATTTTCTAGAAAAAATGCACCGCCTGTGGGCAACGCTGCACAAAATCGTAGCGTGATAGGTTAGAAAACCGACTTTTGCGGTCAATTTAAAGAGCCTGGCCGCTATTTGAGACACCCTGTAGTACATTTACTATACCATATTTATTCAAATATAGGTCCGCGTTTGTTTGCTTGTTTTTTTTTTTTGTTGTTGTTTTTTTCGTCGGCATTTTTTTTGTTTTTTTGTTTTTGTTTAGAGATTGACTTGCAACCAACGCCAAGGAAGGTCGACCTGTAGTAGTACTGAGCATATTTTCCGAACCTATCGTGGAAACCCAGGCCCTCCCCCGTATCAGCTGCTGCACCTATCACACCGATGCGAAGCAGTGAAGCTCGACACACGCGCGCCTGCGCGAAACGGTAAAGGTTGACGGCGAGCGGCGATAGTGCCACGGCATTGACGCATCTGGTTGGAAAGATTTTGAAGTTATCTCACGAGGAGTGCGAGACCCTGGTTCTGTCTTATCGCAGCAGCCGCTATACTCCCACTTCAGGCGCGTTCCCACCGGCGGGCAAAAAGCGATGCGATTTGAGCAGTCGCTTGCTGACCCGACTTATTGCGATGCGATCTAGTCGCGAAGCGACTGAGCCAATCAACGGCGTTCGGACAGAGAGTTTTCGAGAAACGACTCGCCTACGGACGCGTTGGACTCGCTCATCGCGCAAACCAATGTAACCATCTATTTTTTTTTTTTTTTTTTTTTTTTTTTTTGCGATGCGATTTTGTTGCGTCGCGCGATTGCTTACATTGCCGGTGTGAATGTGCCTTTAGGAAGTTTTTTTTCTCGCTGCTTTTCGCTCCCTCACTAACATCGCGGCATCATCGTCTGGGAGTTCAGACGATGACGTGGCCAGCGCGGTCGACGCGAGAATTTTAGCGTGAATTAATATATGTTGTACAATTTTCCTTCTCTTCTACCTCTTTGTCGATCAATATTAAAACAACGCTGCCTTGTTTTAAACTGCTCCTGGCGACATTTTGGTGCGACATATAGCAGACGTGCGTTCATGGCGCAGCTATCACTGTCACTGACGTTTGGCCCATAATGAGTGACGACGCGTGTGCTATTTTCTACCATAAAATACACTCCCATGCGGACGTTCTCACGACCTCCATTACTATCCTGGGTTTCTTGATGATCTATTGTACCTTACTTTTTTCCGCAGCACCACCACAACATCATCCACCGCGACCTCAAGGCAGAAAACGTATTCATCGCGGGCCACAACGTCGTCAAGGTCGGAGACCTGGGCTTCAGCACCCAGGTCCGCTGCCGCGACGAGTCCCTCAACACATTCTGCGGTTCGCCGCCCTACGCCGCGCCGGAGCTCTTCAAGGACGAGAGCTATGTGGGACCCTGCGTTGACATCTGGGCCCTAGGCATCCTACTCTATTTCATCGTCACTTCCGCCATGCCCTTCAAGGCTCAGACGGTCGCCGCCCTCAAGAAACTGATCCTCGAAGGGCAATACACGGTCCCGACGTACCTCTCCGAACCCTGCAAGGCCCTCATAGCGGGCATCCTTCAAGTGACGCCTCAGGACAGGCTAACCCTGGAGCAGATTAGGAGCTCCGAGTGGCTGGGGGGTCAGCGATTCCCGGAAGGGTATCCCAAGTATAACATGTACCCAACCATGGACCCGGCCATGCACGTCTCAGAGGAGGAGAAAGAGGCAAGGGCGCACCTCGAGGAACTGGGGATCTCCGAAGACATGATGAAGGACTGCATCGACAAGGGTGCTCGAAGCAGCATCACCGGCGCGTATCGCATCGTTCTGCACAAAATCCAGACGGCGCCTTCGCCGCAGGACCTCGACAGCGAATCGGCGGGAACGGCGACTGGAACTCCGTCGCCGGGAGGCAAGGCGGATCGGATTTCGAACAAGGCCGAGCGGCTCTTCTCGGCCAAGAAACGGAAGTCCAGGACTTGCGTGCTCCTGTGATGGCCGTTACTTCGTGTTGTGTCTTCGTTGACTGCGTCAGACTGTGATAATAGACAGAGTTGTTCTAGCGAAACAATGCAAATGACTGCTAAGTTAGAAATAATTGATGGGACTACAACTTACGATCGTCGTCTGGCATGCGGCCCTTGAGCAGCTGAGCTGTGCATGTGGCGTGATTTTAGGTGGTGTATCGTGTTGTTTTGTGCTTCTGAACAGTTCGTTTTTTCTTTGTGCTTTTGGTGGCTAGCCTTGATCATTGTTAAATCACTGAAGAATGCCAGTGCTATCTGTGAGAAAAATCTGAAACACAAACACAAGTTTTCAGGCACATATTGAAGAAAACAGCCGGCCAACGAAGTTGAAGATAACGGCATTCTGTTTGTTTCCTGTCCAATCGAAACTTTTCCTTGAAGACCTTCACAGACGGAAGTTTTCAAAAAATCAGAACATGTCACTTTCTCATAATATTCGCAAATCAAAATACATGACTTTCTAATGTCTAGGTACACCTATTAAGCAAGTGCCACACTATTTCCGCGAATAAGCAACGACCGCTTGTGCAACAAGACTTGTTAGATCAGGGAGTGCAACAATAAAAATCCAAAAGTTAGTTTAGCGCTACACAAAACTTATTCGAAAGCACCTTGTTATAAAACTTTCACATGACACCATAATCGCAGCGCAGTGGCACTCGGTGGTAATTTACTAGTGCCAAAAATAAGCAAACATAAACGCTGCACATGCCATTCCCATGGACAAACACACCATTCTCCCCCAACAGAAATCTCAAAGACGACAACGAATTTTTCTACATGTCACTGTTTTCAGCCAATTCAAAACTTCAATGCAATTTCTAGTCACCACGCTTGGCATTTCTGCATCCGAGTCTCTCGAGCAGCCGGGTGCTTCCTAACCTTGCCGCAGCTGCGATCGGCGTCCAACGAGCATTTCTTACTCCCCGTTTTGTACTCCTGCACCAAAACCCCTCCTCGAGGCACATATGAAAAAAAAAAAAAAAAATGAACCAGTAATAAAGGTGTCAAACTGTGGCCTCCTTGTTCTTACACTACCATAACTACATAATCTGTGCAACAGCAATACACAGTGAAACTTTCCAGTAAGACATGGCAAATGGGAACATAGAGTAGACCCCTTTTCATGTTTACAACCACAAGCATTCTCTTGCCTTCCAATAGACTTCCGGTCGCTTTGGGCATGGCAAATGAGAACACACAGTAGAAACTTTTCATGTTTACAAACACAAGCATTCTATTGCCTTCCAATAGACTACAGGTCACTTTGGGCATGGCAAGCGAGAACCTACAGTAGGCCCTCTTCATGTTTACAAACAAGCATTCTCTTGCGTTCCAATAGACTACAGGTCATTTTGGACATGGCAAGTGAGAACCTACAGTAAGCCCTTTTCATGTTTACAAACACAAGCCTTATTTTGCCTTCCAATAGACCACAGGTCACTTTGGACATGGCAAATGAGGACACACAGCAGACACTTTTCATGTTTACAAACACAAGCATTCTCTTGCCTTCCAATAGACCTCCGGTCGCTTTGGACATGTCAAGTGAGAACCTACAGTAGGCCCTTTTCATGTTTACAAACAAGCATTCTCTTGCCTTCCAATAGACTACGGGTCGCTTTGGACATGGCAAATGAGAACATACAGTAAACCTTTTTTATGTTTACAAAAACAAGCATTATCTTGATTTTTAATAGACTTCCAGTCGCTTTGGACATGGCAAATAAAAACATAACACTCTAAAAAAAGGGGGGTGTAGACGTTACACCCCTTGTCACATATACGACACCCCAAAACTTTAGTTTGTTGTACAGCCCACAACCCTTTTCATGTTATTATAGCAAGTGGTAAATTGTGGTGTCTGCAAGTACAGTGCCGCCAGTATTCTTTCAAAGCAAAATGTGAAAAGAGTGCAGAAGTCATGTTCCCACTAACAGATTCGCGCAGTAGTGTCTTATTACTTCTAGAAAAAAAACATTTTTTTTATTTTTTAAAAGTAAGTTCGATTAATTTGATTTAAATCATTGTAGCTAGGAAATAGCGATTCTTAATCACTATGTATATTTTTGAACATCGCAGATTCATGGGCGTCCGCAGAACTTATTCCCGGGGAGCACACACTTATTCCCCCCCCCCCCCCCCCCCCCTCCGGGGAATGATGGCGATGTTGGCTATTTTCAGCACGTTCCCATGTTACTCTCTACCTGCTTTCACGGCTGCGCCCTGGATTTGGAGCTACAAACCACTGATCTCTATGACCAGGCACGTAACCGGAAAGGGGGGGGGGCATGCCCCCCCCCCGAAATTTTTTATTTTGCTGGAACCTCCTGTCCCCCTTTCTCTCATACAGCATTCTGTCATGGGCGCCCCCCCCCCCTCCCCCCTCCCCCGGAAACAAAATCCTGGATTCGTGCCTGTCTATGACAATTGCTAAATCGCGCTTCCCGCTCCCGCGAGTAAAGCCACCGGACGGCCATCTTGCATGTCGAAAAATCGGGTTTTTGGTAGGGATGCCGCGAACTTTTTTCGAATTGAAGTTTCGATGATCGAATCAAGCGGTTCGAAAGGTTCGAAAGATTTCGATTTTTCGAATTTCCTACATCGTAAAATTCGACGGAGGTCGAATTTTCGAACTTGTTAAGCTAAGAACTTCGACGCTTTTCGAACCGTCGAACTTATTACGCTAAAAAATTCGATCTTTTTCGAACTTTCGAACTTATTGCCCTGCAAGGTTCGATGCTTGTCGAACTTCCGAACTTGACTGACCAAAAAATTCGATGAATTTTGAACTTTCGAACTTATTTATCAAAAGAATTCGAAAAGTTTCGAACTTTCGAATTTTGAAATGTCAGAAGTTCGACGAACTTCGAACTTTTAGGGTAAAAGTTCGACGTTCGTCGAACTTCGAAAGACCGGCGGACGGTTTCATTTGATTTCAAGTAGTGGGGTACATTCGTAATTTTTTTTTCTCGAACTTTTACACGCGGTGCTGCGTTTCTTACGAAAGACAATGTCGTTTATTTCAATGTTCTGGCATGCTTAGGTTTAAAGAAATAAATCCCCGGAGGGGCGAGGAAGAACGACGGGTTTTTGACGATTATCATTTGTGCCAGATTTGAAGCGCGCTCTAGCCGGAGCTATTTATGGTATACTTTTTTTAAGAATGATCTATGTATAGCCTAGGTAAGTGCCGTCTTAAGATGTGATTATTGTTATTCAACGTGAGTTTCGGAGAAATGTCCAAACATGTATCTGCATGCAATTATGACCTAAACTTGATATTTATTTTCGTCTAAGTTGTTTGAGGTATCGTATTTAAATTAACACCACAGACAGGTCATATCTAATAGTGTTTAAGTTCAGCACGTCATAAGAAAACTTTTTTTTTTTTCGCTTCACGTTCCTGGGACGTGTTTCTTTTAGCCTGTGCACATTTTGGTAAAAGAAACTTGTTTCGAAGTTCTGAACCTCTGAATACGCAAGAATAGAACACTTCCGACGAATTCTTGATTTTTTTTTCTCCTGCTTTTTATTCCCGCGTTTTTTTATTTTTTATTTATTTATTTATTTATTTTTTTTACTATTGGCACAGGTTTTTAGGTCGAAAAGACAGCTTTGAACTTCCGAACCACTAAGCATGTGACGAGTAGTGCCTTCTGACAACGAGTTTCTAACAATGACCATCTACACAACCTTTTATGCAGTGAAGAGCGACTGTAGCTACACATATGCATAAATAATTTCAGATTAAAATAAGCTCGACCACGCCCTCTTTCCCCGTATTGTTTTCTTTAACAGTCCGAAATACCTGAAAGGAGAAGAAGGAGGCTGAAGCCCCCCCCCCCCCCCCCCCCCCCTCCCCCTCCCCCCGTTTTTCCTCTTCCGACGCCACTTGTATGGTAGAACGCTCCTCGACCTCGAGTTGTGTCAGCTTTTGTGCTTTTTGGGAGGCGGTTCCTCCGTCCCAGAAAATAAACCTCCAGGACAATTATAAACTTTACCGGATCGGATTACTACCAGCGTGCAAGGGGTGGCGAGCTAGTTTGCCAGGTCGCTTCAAGGTTCTTCTGAGCCTCAACCTCCTGCTCGCCCCTGGCCGTTTCGAACTGGATGAGTCTCGTAAAACAGTGTGTTCGTGTAATCACTACTGCGTGATGCAGATTAAAGACCCCCCCCCCCCCCCCCCCCAGGGCTGGCGGTCACAATGCTGCACTGACGAATATTCTAGCACGCCCGGGGCACTCGTCGTCTCATTTAATTGCCTGACCAATTTCGCAGAATCTAGATATCACACCCTAACTTTTCTAAACTTGATTTTGTGAAAACCAGTGAGTCGTGAAAACGTTATTTGAAACTGAAACTGTGGAAAAACTTGAAAATCGGACTTCGAACTTTAAAAACTTGGATTTAAAAAAAAATTCAAAATCTTCGAAGTTTTTTTTTATTTTTTCTTTTTTTTTAATTTAGCGTTAAAAGAAAATCGAAACCTTCGAACTTTTCGAACTTTATGCAGAAAGAAATTCTAAATCTTCGAATTGTTCGAACTTCATGTCTATAAAAATTTGAAGCGTTCGAAGTTTTCGAATTTTTTCCAAAGAATTTCGAAATCTTCGAATTTATCGAACCTGAAGTAAAAAAATATTCGAAATATTCGAATTCGAAATTTTAGAAACCGTGAAAGCTTCGAAATTTTCGAATTCGAAACTCCGCTGTGGTCAAAAGTTGCGAATTTTTTGAATTCGAACCTCGGTCGGTACGAAAATATCGAAATTTTTCGAAATCGAACCTCAGTTCGCTTCGCAAATATCGAAACCTTTCGAAATCGAACCTGGGGTGGTTCGCGACATCCCTAGTTTTTGGAACGTTGCGGAGGCTGGCGGCAGCGTGCTGAAGACACATTTTCTAATCGTTCGTCGTCATTCGCCGAAGTTCTTTAAAACCCTCTGTAAGCCGTGAGACTTGCCGTTGAGAACACGTGAAACTTTTTACGGAAGCGCAGTGCCGCAGAAAAAAGGCACAACGTGTCGAAAGCAAGTTTTGCCGGTCTCGCGGCGTAATCAAAACTTCCTTGGCACTTTATTATCTTTTTTTTTTTTGCCCTTTGATTTTGTAGTTTTTTCAATAACCATTTTCAATTTCCAGGTATGAAATAGCATGTTGGAAACAGTAAATCCATGGTATTCAGGAAATGTAGTTGTTTTGGGTAGCTAAAAAAACCGCCGGAGTCGTGAAAACTGGTGCAAGTGCAGCTCCCACCCGCCCCTCCCCCCCTTGCACACCCTCGAAATTCCAGGGAGGGGGGGGGGGGGGGGGGGGGGGGGGAGGCAATCGCTTCCCTTACACCCCTCTGCGGACGCCCATGGGCAGATTGATTGAATAATTCATCCGATAACTGATAACATTACGGACGAAAGAATTACTGTAAATTTAAAGTAAATTCAGTTTAATTAACAACTTTTATTTATGTAAATCCCGCCATACTAAACAAAAACAGCTTAATTTTCTTTTCGTTAGCTAAACAGTCTAATTTGCTTTTTATATTGTGTCTTGATTTGCGTGCAATAAGACATTAATTTCCAAGTTTTCGAGAGTTTTTTTTTTTTTTTTCGGCGTTGATTTGGTTGTAATAAGGCATTACGTAATTCGCGAATGAAGTGGAAGCTAGGAAGCAAGCTGAGTGCTCCGATTTTCTCAGAAGCCTGATATAAATCTTCGATAATTCTTTGGTTACAGTACAAAAAGAATGCATATAAGCATCAAATGAGAGACAAGAGGTAAATAAACACTATTTCCAGGATTATTCTTACGGAAAAGGTTCGATTGAAATCCTCCAAGTAAAATTGGTCCGATTTTAATTCTGATTTTTATTCTCCACCCTGAATACATATGATCTTCAAAAAGATCGAAAACGCTCGAGATGTTTCCGAAGTAAAATTCCACTTGCACATATCCAACATTTCCTACAAACTATGGTGGGAAAACATCTTTAATAAAAGAAAATCATTTATTTTATT